GTTTGCATCGCGCGGACTCTGGGCAGGCCACACCACCCTGCGAATGTCCTGTTGGTCAAACCAATCATCAACTGCTCTGGGCCTGTGACAAGGAGCATTGTCATCCTGGTAAACAAATGGATAATTCCTGTCAACAAACATGTTAGTAATAGATGGTAGCAAGCCTGACTCCAAAACAGCGATATATTTCTAGTGATTCATGTTTCCATCAACCACTATCAATTCGCCCACGCCATGGATGCTGATGCAGCCCCACACCATGATAAATATGCTGCTCCGGGTTCGAAAATTCAGTGCATGTGGTTCAAATGCTTTACCAGCAGTTCGCCAGCATCGTACCCGTCTGTCATCAGAGGTCAGACCAAAGTGACAATTATCAGAAAAATATATAGGACCAATTGTCATGGACTGTCCAGTCCCAGATCCTATTGACCCTAGTTCACTCTACGTTGCCTGTTTTGTAATGATATAAGAGGTTTCAGTCTTGCTACCCTGCTGTACACTCTCTGAGCATGTAACCAGCGCCTAGCAATTTTCACAGACACATTCTTATGTGTGAAATAGTTCCACTGCCTTGCCAACTGACAAGCAATGTCGACTTTGACAACCTGGACATCAAAATCAGTCGTCGGTCTTCACGGCCAGTAGTTTTTCTTGGACGACCCATCAGAGACAATTTGTCTCTTGGTCCAGTATTTCTATACCGAGACCAGACCCCCTGCAGGGTTCTGACTGAACAATTCAATTGTATCGATATTCTGACATTGCTTATATTCCGCCTCTTCAGGTTAATAATTTGACGCCTTTAACCGTTAGATAATTGCATGCCTGTATCTTGCCATATTGGAGGAATACAGGAATGACATTTGCTGTACATGTACAAGACCAACAATACAATTCCATGGTATAGCGGTTTTATACTCATTAGTCACATTATAAATAGACCAGGCATTATAACTACCCAAGATCTGCCTACTTTTATTACTCTGATTTAGGGGGTGACACTTCTATTGTCCAGTGTGTGTAAGTTGGTTAAAAGTGTATAAATATTAAACATCATTTCTGAATCAAGCTAACCACCAGGACCCGAGAATGTATTTTTATTTATTTTATTGTATTGTTTGTGGGAAGGAGGGGGGGGGGTCAGTTGCCCAAACGAAAGGCATTTATGAAAAATAACTTTTTGGAGGGATCTCTGTAAAGTGTTAACATTTTTCATTCTCCCATTCCATGAGAAGTCTCTGAGTTTTCTTCCAATAGGTGTCCAGATGACTGCCGCTGACTGTACTTATAACATGCATGCATGTATTGTACAGTAGGCCTGCTTCGCATCTGCGGACCCCTCCTTCAAATAATCCTGTATCAGGTACTGCTCAGCATGCGTCTGCAAGCAACCTAGCCTACGGTTCACAGCAGTCAAGCAACCCTGCGTCATTCATGCAACTAGGGGAGACCGGGGCTAGTTGGACCTCGGGGTAAGTTGAACCCCCATCAATTTATGACAAAGTAACTATGGGGTAAAAGAACTGATCACATCATTTTGTAAAGTGGCCGTATCCAATAGTGCTAAGAAAGCGTAGGCAGTGAGTCCAAATGAAATAATTTAGCATCTTAAAGTAACTTTTTAAAACAGACTTGATGGGGGTTCAACTTACCCCTGGGTCCAACTAGCCCCAGTCTCCCCTATTATCCCCTCTACCAGGGTGGCAAATTATATAGGGAAAAGCGGAAAAATCCAGACACAGAGCCTAACGACTGTCTATTTATCTAGAGACATATATCTGTGAATATCTGTAAAGAAATCAATCTGTCGCATCAATCTTTCTAGCACGAAAATCCATGCATTACCACTCCTGTTGACGATTCTGATATGAAGTGGCTGTGCTAACGCATGAAAGCAAAGGCCTCAAAAGGTGGGAAATGAGGACCAGTTGCCGAACCAGTTGCGGTGCGGCAGCTGTTAATTTTTGTATTTTACAATCCTCAATATGTCATTTTACAATCCGTCGCGTCTGATACTTCGAAGCGCGTACTGATACACACCTTGAAAACGGGTATTGTGGTCCGATCTACCGGTGAATTCAGGATCATTCGGTGCCGAGTCTGGTGGTTGGGTAGGCCTGCGTGTGATTCTGAGTTTGTTATGTGAAAAAATATTGTACCAATAGCGCGTCACTATTGTTATATACACATGGTTTTAATCCAGACCCGTATCGTTCGCCAGCTCCGCCGCCACGTTACCGTTACTTACCTTAGGTTTTAGATTTCAGTTTTGCCAGCTCGATCTTGATGTCATATATAACCCATATCAGCAAAACTGTGACACAGTGACTCTGACACTCAGGGCACCGTTACCACTTCTCCTCCTAAACTACAAAAGACCCTGTATCCATCTCTTGCATGTAGGTCACATATAATGGAATTTAACAAGTTAAAATGCTAATGAAAGAAACATACCTGAAGCTTTTCCAAAACAAAAATCTATAAATTCAATTTGTATAAATTTAAAATTTTGCTATTTCAAATTTATTCTAAAATTTGTTCTGCTTCAATTCTTTTTTTAAATATTTGATTCCTTGAAACCAATCTATTCGTCATTCCAGATATAAATTTCCTCTGTTATTTATTATAGGTAAAGTACAAATCCATTTCTGGTTTTTGCTACCGTATGAATTGTTTCTTGATACGAGTTCCTCAACTTAAAATTTGCCTTATGAAGTTGCCTCTTTGAATAAAGGTTTGGTATATTCATATAATGCCAAGTGCATAGGAAATATTATCCCTGCCTCGAGATTTCGTTATTCATAATCACAAAATCACAGCTCGAAATCACAATAGTCAGTTATCGAAATAACCTATTTGTATGCCTTTCTTTTCAGCTTACATCTAAACAGCCCTGTCCAAAATATCTTTGAAAAAAGTGGTAATTTGCAATGGTACTGTTAGAGCAGAAGCAGTGTGAAAATAAGCCTTGCAAATCGGGTCCATTTAGCACATTTCTAATTGTCTGTAATTGTTCAATGAGGCGAAAGTAAAATGATTATAAATTGAAAATTCCTCCAGCAAATGTTGTCAAAAGATCTCTTGCACTTTATGATCTAATGCTCTGGCTTTTGCATGAATGAAATCCATACTATATGGAAAAAAATGCTAAATAGATTAAATAATAAGGATTTATATGATGTATATTTATTTATCACATCTAAAGGCAAGGATTTCAAGATTGCATTGGTATTATGTATTTTTATGACACAGCTGTTAGTATGTATAGATACATGTATAACCTTATAACTACACATATTTGCATTTTGTGAACTTGCACTCTGACAAATATACAGTCGCATAGTATGATGCACCACTTACACTTTTTAACAAATTGAAAACACAATTTATTAATCTGACAAAATTATATTTAACATAATGACTGCAACTTTATTTTCCAACTTAACCATATGGACAAAACAATTTACTGGATCTGTCACTAAAAATCACAACGAAGTAATATAACTAGAAAAATCTGCAGCACATTTTTTTTTACTTTACTTTATTTTTAAATTACTTCTATTACAAATTATGATGATAAGGCATACACATTGTGTAGCAATAACCAGTCAATTACAAAGAAAATAAGAGCATAAAAGATTGCATTGCACAGTCTTGAATATTGAACAATGTAACAAGTTCAGCAGCACCTTTTCTTCCACACTTACCCATAATTGTATTAAAATCTTTTGTAATTAAAGAAATCATATTAAATATAATACATCTTTGTAAAGTCACATAAATGAGATCTCAAATGGTCCCAAAAAGATTTCCCAACAAACATAAAACACCAAATATTAACAACAAAATCATCATATCTTAAAATTGATGAAAATTTCTTCTGAATATTAAAATCAAATTAAGAGAGAAGAACAAAACAGGAACATACATAATATATCAAATACTAATATAGGCATTAAGGCTTCATTCACATGCAATGTCTATTTTCTAAATTCTATTTTCTATTTGCGGTATGTCTTATGATCACGGTCTGTGCCCTGAATATCCCGCGGCGTAATTACTGGCAGCGCGAGCCGGTTACTATAAGTTACTGTAAGTAACTGGCTCGCGCTGCCAGTAATTACGCGGCGGGATATTCAGGGCACAGACCGTGATCATAAGATAGCGCGAATAGAAAATAGATTTTTAGAAAATAGACATTCCATGTGAACGAAGCCTAAGTCTCTCGCAAGAGTTTTTTCACTATTTCATGTTCACAGGTCTGCCTTAAGGTCTGCCTTACAATACTGTAAAAATAATATCAAATAATTGCAGTTTTACAGCAACAAATTCTGTGGAAACTTTCAAAGAGTAATTCTTTCAGAATCTGACACATGACTTGGATTTCTAAAATATATGGAGAGTAATAATACTAATGATTACTGACCTTGGATAAAATGAACTGTACAATAATTCCGTACGATCAAAATATACATTTGCAGTTATATCCAAAAATTTCATACGAGCACAAGAAAAAAAAAGCTTGGCACTATCTAAGATAATAAAAAAAAATGTTTAAAAGCAAGGTGCTTAAACCACCCTTTACACTAGATGGTGTCCTTTCTGTGTCATTTGTGCGGCCACAAAAACCGGCAACGTTGTGGTCATAGAAAAGAGGCACAAGCATCGCTTTAGTTGCAGAATGAATGCTCAATGATCAGCCAGTTGTCGGCATGTTAATTTTTTTACCCAATGGAGCCGAGATTTAATGACTGTACCCCCGCAGGGACGACACGTGGGGAGGCGTGTGAGAGGCGGAGAGACTATTAGGCAGTTTTTCTTTCATGTACGTCCGCCATATTTAGTCACAGGATTTGTAAAGCCTGGCTCAACTCGATGTGAATGCGGTCTTAAATGTGGCCCAACTATGGGATGCAGAACAGATGCCGTCCAGTGTAAAGGGGGGCTTTAAATAGTCAAACTCTCTGCAAATGAGTCTGGTGAAGAGTCTGATGTTATTTTTATCCACCATCTTCCATTCTACAGAAGCTTTCGCATACTGTAAACACAACAGATCTTTCTGCATTGGAGTAGATCAAAACTGTGAAACATATTCAGTAAAACTGCTTGATGTGAGCTAACAAAATGATAAAATCTTTTATGGAATAAAATCGAGAACATCAAACTGGATCAACTAGGATAAAATATTTAGCGCATATATACAAGTCCAGTGCATAACTTAAAATAAAGTTTTGTGAAAATTGCAACATTCATAGATTCTTTGGAATTTAAAAGTTTGATGTTTTTATACGTGGAATTAATATATCTATATTATAGTAAAATATGTCACCTTAATTATTTACTTTCATTTCCACAGAGATATCTGAATGCATTAATATATTTTATCAAAAACAGAAATTATGGGTCATGTTTGTCATGTGAAAACACACCAACCAGAGGGCTATCAAGTTTAAGGCACATATTGAAGTTTTGTCTGACACGTTTTTTTTTAACACTTGGCTTGGATTGTCTTAGGACTGGAAAAGAGGCACTTTCTATGTTTTTTCCTCGGAGGCAACAGGTGGTGGTTCATCATAGGCTTCTGGATTTATGGGTGCATTAGCAGGGTATTGGACTTGTATTTGGGTTTGACTTGTGGCGTCCTCTGGATCATCTTCAATGTCACTGCTAGGACTTCCATATACTGCAATTCAAATAACAGTTTTAACATTATCAGACCTGTAACAGAAACATCTATTCTAACTCACATTTATTTAAAAAGGGGATTCTTCATATCAATCTAAATGAGTCAATTTTTCCTACAAATCACGTGTCTCTAATTTTAATTTTGTTTTTAAAAAGTAACAAAGACATTCAATTAAAACATAAGATGTTTCATATGAGATGAAAAGAGACAAGAGCTTAGAACATTGGACATGAGTGCAGGTTCTTAGATCAACTTTTGATCAATTATTCCACCACATATATAAATGGGTTTTATCACACTTGTACCCAAAAATGGAAATATTTGTGACACCACTATAATTCCCTCTTACACAAACTGACACAAAAATTGAAAATGTCCAATGTCATTGCATATCACCACATCTTTAAAGCATTTCATGAAAAATTCTCAAATTGACATATCCTTGGACTTTCTATGTGCTGTTACAAAACGCCTCCTACTCCTTACATTTTATATTTTAAACACAAAGCAAACATAACTTTCCACAAGTTTTGAGTCAACATCTTTATGTATTACTAACAAGACCATTAATAAGTGTTTAAATTTACTGACAATTTGGCATTTTCTTTTGTCTAAAAACAGAAAAAAAACACAATAACTGAACCACAACCACTCCTACTGTACCACAACCAATCCCAGTGTATCTATCAATCCACTGTACAGGTGCCACAAACACTCCCACTATACCACAACCACAGTACCACAAATCTTCCCTATTCCACTGTTCCACAACCACCACCTTCATAAAACAACCACTGCCACCATACCATAACCACTATACCACAACCACTGAACCACAACCACTTCCACTGTATCACAACCAATGTACCACAGCCTCTGTCCCCATACCACAACCACTGCACCACAACCACTACCATGGTAAAGCATTAAGTGGAACCAGACTACAGTTTTCAAGGCAAGCCAGATATCCAATCTAAGGTAGTTATTGTACAAGCAGAACTTAAAACCATATCCATACACTAGTGACTATCTTGTTAGTAAGCACGTTTTGTCTCTGGTGGCGACTCAGTCGCTAGTTGGTGGTAATATTGCGCCTTAGTAGTCTCCTGAGGGTTCAAAGGGGGGTAAGGGGAACGCCAAAAGTGCTTTATAAATACTGAAAATACAACACATCAGCCCATTAACATATTAGTTTAGAAGCCAAAACAGAAGCAACGATTAATGACTAAGGAGACTATATACAGGATTGTGCACAAAATAAACAGTAGACAGGGAGGGACACAGCAAGCATCATTTATTTAAGGGATAACAACTCTTCGTGTGATATCTATATTTCACAATAATTACATTGTTAACAACTCAAATAACTATAATATATTCTATTTTATCACAAAAATGGCAGTTATGGCAGTAAATCTGAAATCTGTGCTTGCCAGTCAACAACATGACCTCCATAGATGGCTATGTATACTCTGTAATTACCTCTTAAGAGATTATTACAAAAAAACAAACTTAAAAAAAACAGGGACTAACTTTGAATGTAGAAATGGATACATTAACCATTGGTAATTTTGGGGAAAAATGCTGTTTACCCTAGGAAAATTAATTTTTTGGCCAAAATGAACAGTTGTTATCACTTTAAGGCCTGGTATGTCCCAGGGCGGGGTCGAACCAATACATTTAATATCCATATTTTTCAAACACAAGGCCATTCGATCAGTTCTAGGAATTTTGTGTCTCTGTCAAGCTTTCATATTCAAATATTTATATCTATAATAATGAAACTCCTGTATACTGCCCCTTCAAATAAAAGTATTTCTTCTACACAAACATGACCATGCTGGTATACTTCCTTAGTGGTTATATATCCTGTGGGTTTTTAGTTTTAATGTTATTAAATAAAAATATATATACATTAGTGTGGTTTATCACAAATGGTGTGACACTGAATACGGTGTTCTATACCTCTACCCACAACTGCAAACTGGTACTTATCAACCATACAACTAAAAACTGGCATCTATCAATCATCACTTAACCATTTGTAAGGTGGTACATATATATAACTCCATATATATCTATATATATATGAAAGTAACACACACACACACACTATATATATATATATATATATATATATATATACTTTAGATAGATATTAGATCATGCTGTAACTTTAGATATTTTTGATATATATATATATATATATATATTTGATATTTTTAGATATTTTTGATATATATATATATATATATATATATATATATATATATATATATATAAAGTTAGAGTGGACTTGAACATCTTTTTAATTTTTTAATTTATTACCTTTTTCTTTGAGCCCAACTCCATAATTTCTGTACACTTTGTAACAGAAGACCAGCAAAATGATGCGCACGATCAGCGCCAAGCCTGCCCCTACAAATGTTACTGCATCTATACTGGTGTCTGGCTCTTGATTTTCATAAGCCACATCTGTAGCTGCCTAAAAAAAAACAAAACAAATCTTGTAATATTTCTTTTTTGTTTGATTGTTTAAGGTATACAGATAAAAAGTAAAAATGTTTTGCAGTGTGCTATACATGACAATATCAATACCTTGAAGTAGTATTAACATATGTACCCTCCTAGCAAAATAAGGAAAAGGGATTGGCTAGGTGGGGTTGTCATGTCAACTGTCGGTTGGTGTCACTTAGCAACCATTATGATGCTGACTTGCAAACGGAAGACAGAAACTTTATGAAGACATTTTATAGACTCATGCTTTGTGAACTTAAGTAAAGCTAATTTATTGATTGTATTCATTTCTATCATTTTCATTACAGCTTGAAAATAATTTCAGTATTGGTACCAAACTCAATTCATGATTTTACCAAGAAGAGAGAGGGGTACAATTCATGATTTTAGGAAGGGGAGAGAGGTTAAAAAAAGCATCACATTGAACTTAACACACACACTGCATTTACATACCTGGTATACTTTGAAAATAATGTAGCCTGGTTCAAATACAGACGTGGCAAAGAAAATGAATGTTAGAATCTTGTTTTCAAATCTCACCTAAAAAGCAGATGAAGATGCAAATAATTCAATTATAATACACCAAAAAATACATTTATGGAAGTAATGGAGGCTCACTGTAAAACCATCCCTACTTGTATACAGGCATTTATTGCATTAGTATACATGAGCATGTGCCTTTACATTTATATCACAATAAATGTGCACATACTGCAAAATATCTCGGTGAGTATGAGGCCACATGTGCATGTGTGTATGTGTGTGTGTGCATGTTACAGCATTATCTCTCTCTGTATGTACGTAGGTGTGCATTAGTATGTTCATTTACTAGTAAAGCAAAATATCCCAGTGGAATCCAGACCATAGTGAAAGATACCCCTGTTGTTATTACACAGATCTACAGTGTAAGACGAATGTAAAATATAGCTGTGCATGTGTGTGTGTGTGTGTGTGTGTACTTACAGCAAAATACCCTAGTAGTACCCAAACCACAGTGAAGGCAAACCCTATGGTCAGGACACAGATCCCTAGCGTACCTGTTGTGTGGCCATCCTTCAGAATGAGTATCAGCATACTAGACTGGTATAAATAAATAAATAAATAGACTGATTGTCTAACAAGACTGCAATAAAAAATAAAAATTCTGATAAATTCTCATCAGTAATCATTTTGATTTCAATTAATTACATATAACCATATTCAGATAAATATTGCCCGCATGTTGTTTTGCCATCAGTCAAACAACACATCAGATGAAATGATGAAAAAATTCAATAGAAGTTTAAATTCAAGGTAATATTATTGAGATTGATCTTTTACTGTGGTAACATATAATATGTTACCACAGTATGTTACCACTATATGATATAGCAAAAAAATAATAAATAACAAAAACAAAGAACAATATCAATTTTGCATAATGCAATCACTGGGCACTGTATGTCTGTGTATATATATATATATATATATATATATATATATATATATATATATATATATATATATATATATAAACTCACAGCCATCTGGACATCAAACTTGAGAGCTGCCTCCGTAAAGAACAGAGTCTTGCAGGAGTTCTGTAAGTCCTCACTGGCTCCAACTGTCCTGAATATCAAGTTCCCTGACTGGAAATATGTGTACGACACCCAGAGCCCTAAATACACATTCAACGGGACCAGGATAACAGTGAATATGAGTCGTACCTGAATAACAAGGAAAATAATACGGATGAGATTTAATTTGTTTTACGGGTATTCTAAAGCAAATAAACAATCCAGAGAGCAACTTTTTTCCTCAATTCCCGCTATTAAAAATTGATGAAAAAATCCATGAATACTTTTTTATGTTCTGCATCTTTCTGTTTACCATCACACCATTTTTCATCCTGTTTCAATCTCAGACAAGAGAGTGTCACTCATAAATTGGAAATTTCAATATAATTTGATTCGCTTCAGGGTTTTGTTTTTATGTGAATGGTGGCAAACTCTTACCAGTTTAACTGTGAACCTAACATCATCTTTTCCATTAGCAATATCTGGGTATGTAATGGCAAAGTTGGAACAGACGTACACAATGATGATGACATTGGCAATGACAAATATGAAGGTTTCATACGGACGTTCTCTCAGAACCCCTTCCACTACATACAGAAAGCAGAACCCTGAAAACAAAGGTGAAAAAGAATAATTAATTTTTTTCTTTTAAATGTTAAAAGGATAACAACTGTTCATTTTGGCCAAAAAATGAATTTTCCTGGGATAAATGACTATAGGGAGTGATTAATCTTTTTTTTTTTTTTTTTTTTTTTTTTTTGCAAACACATTTAACATCTTCCAGCATGGGTTGTCATACAAACATAAAAATGAGTAATTTTTTCAATAAGGAGCAATTTGAGAGGAAACTAAGAGGTCCACATGGTCCAACGCCAAGCACAGACTTCTGAACAATTATGATTAACCCTGTTCTGGTGGGAAAATGGAACTGAACTTATTTCTATGAGTTGTTTACAACATATTTATTATGGAATTTTTAATCTGATATAAAGATTTGTTATCTTTTTCAGTCTACAATGTAAATACTATGAATCAGGATTTGTCATTGCAGATCAATATCAAAAGTAAAAGATGCTTCATACATATTTACTTACCAATATTTACAATTATCAGAAGTGCAAAAGTGAAATCATGTCCAGTTTGTGTGGCAGCACTGTAGATGGCGACACCTAGTGAGGCTAAAAGACTGATGATTGCGATGATGAAAAAGGCGATTTCTTTTTTCTCTAAATCCTGCCATGTTCTGGTCTGGAATTTAGAAGAAAAAAAAGCAAAGTGAAACCAGGTTATCAAGTATTATATGGGGTTTATTTGATTAATTATGTCGAAAATCCTCAAAAGCTGTGCTTCAATCTTGAAAATGATGATAATGGAATTTTTAAAAAATGTTAAGAATATTTCAGGTATTTCAAAAAAAAAAGGAAACAAAAGAAACAAAGGTAGGAATTCGTTTTTTCCCCTATTTTCTTAAGCCATTGGGAAAAATAGCCTCACTTAAATATATCAAAAGGAAAAAAAATTATTACAGATAAGTTCTAAACTTGCATGATGAGCAGTCATCACATGCCACCCATTTGAAAACCACTTCCTCTTCAATAAAAGCAATGAATAAATGAATGTATAGAAAAAGAATGAATGAATTTGATTCTGAAGCACATGAGCAAAAACTTATGTACTTAAATTCATGGACTCACACCAGTGAATTTAGCTGCAGTCAATGTGGAGGTGATAGATTACAGAACTGAAAGGTGAACAGGTGTCTCTCGAACCTCTAGTCACAAACACCAAGATAACAACATAAGAAGGTCGACAACACTATTGTATTTCAATTGTTTATTTGTATGAGGTCAAATATTTCCATGGCTCTGTCACTACTTGTACAATCTTCAACTGGTACTTGAATAAATTATTTTGCCATAGCAATAGACATGTACTTCCTGTAAAATTTTAATTTTAAATATGAAATATGAAATTCACTCAACTATTCGATCATGATAAAAAAATCTCAAAAGATCAATAGCTCTTTAAATCTGCTCTACTTGGGTTATCTGCTAAGTGTCTCAGCTTTCAATATTCTGTTCTTTTAATTCATTTATCAACCCATTTTGTGTGTGGGCGACTGGAGTAGATTAGTCAACGGAAAACAAGCCACCAGCCATCATTAATACCATCAGTGCATCACGTGCCTTTTTATCTATTACTGACATTGTTGATATGAAAGCACATGACAAAGTCGCTGAAATATGAAAACAATTTGACTTATAGCAAAAGAAAGTTGCTGTTTTTTTGCTCTTAATTTTTATGTAATAATAATAAATCAATATTCAATATGTGTTGTTAAAAGACCATTTTTAAAGCTCGCGTTCTTCTGTATTATGATTTAAAAATGAATAGAGAAATTGTGAAATACTGGACAGACAAGAAAGATCAACAACAACGAAAAATAAACGTGGATATAAACTACTTTCTGCAATGCACATATAGATAGTAGATATGAATAGCAGTGCATGGCGTCATTGGCAATGTAAACACACCTTGCCTAGGACCGTCTCTGTCGTTGCTTCTCTCTTCTTTATTCCAAGATCTGCAAACGTGATCGGCCCATCCTGATCGTCGATCTGGTCATCCATGAGTGCTCTATGTGCCTATGATCTAATTTTAAAAACCCATTGTGCAGTGGTGAAAAAAAATAATAAAATGTGTTGCCGTCCCGTCGCGTGCCTTTTACACCTCCCGTTGACCTACTTCCGCTTTCTATATCAAAAGGTGAAGGACGTTTGTGGATATAGGTCACACGTGTGACCCTTTTCGGTCTCCGATTTCTTATAAAGCTTTCCGTGTAAAATGATAAAACAAGAATTTGTTTGAGCAATTTACAGCCCATTTTGTGTTTGTTCTATGCATAAGGATGAACTGATAATGAAATCAAAAGCTAATATTCTTTTCGGCACTTACAGTCTCGTTATCAAATCACCTTCAATATGGCGACGGGGGACGTGAGAAGCGAAGACGAACTTGGGGAAAAATGGGACCGGTGTCTACAAGACGGTGGAATAAAAATTGGTAAATAACAGTTCAGTTCTTTGAACTATTAAGGAGGCCATACAATGGTTGGGAATGTATCATCAACGTTCTGCAAGGACGTAATTGCGCTGTTAAATAAGTCTATCTCCTCCAGCGACGCGACACTTGCTTCAGTTTTTTCTTTTTTTTTATCCGATCAGAACTATTTAGTCCAGTATCAAGTGGTATAATTTTATCTATTGGACTTTATAATATTACTGCACGTATTATTTTAAGAAGTGACTTGCTTTTGATTACAACTGTAGATTTAGAGTTACTCTTCTAGCGGGGGGGGGGGGGGTACCACTTCTGTCATTTCGATTCTCAATGCCTAGCAAGTCAGGGATTCCTTGATGAAACTGTCTTTTAGGACACTTGAATATAAGAGTGGTGATAGCACCAACTTTAGCTGTTTGAATATTCTGTTGAAATAAAAATATACATGCATGACACGTTGATGAAATTCTATTTAAGATTACATGCCAAGAATGGACCAGCCTGGATGTCTCATACCTTTGAATGAAACATTGATATACCTAGTGTTTTGATGAGTTTAACATATTTTTGGTCCATTTCAGCTGGAAGCACAGCAGTTGGCTTTGTGTCTTCAATGCTGTTATGTAAACGTAAGTGAATTGCCATGCACAGTCAGCACAGATATTTTATTTCATGCATACTGGGTAGAAGATTTAATACAGGGCCGTAGCCTCCGGGGGGGCAGGGGGGGCAGCTGCCCCCCCCTGGAAATTGGGGTGCAAAAAAAATAATCGCAAAGGTAAAAAAAATAATTGCAAAGTTGGTGTCAATTCTGTGAGAAAGGCACTCATGGCCACTAGACAATCATTCAACAATCTGTTTACAAAGGTGTACTGTTTTTAGCCAACTCAGTTCATGCCAAAAAGCTCACCCTCCCTGAGGGAGCTATCCCCCAGGCCAATTGGCGTGTTGTGTTGAAAAAATGACTGTACTTATGGCAAAATGAACCCACAATTTCTGACTTCTGATTGACCAATAAATAACAGTTAAAATGCACCAGGATGCAGTATTATACATACAGTTTTTAAAAATTTTCCACACCGTGGGAGGGGGACATCCCCTCCCACACCCTCCCCCATCGGGGGCTTCGCCCCCTCGTGTCCGCTTACTGCCCCCCCTGGCATTTTGCTCAGGCTACGGCCATGTAATATTACGTCACTCATCTTGACAGTGGAAAGTTGTTGGCAGTGTTTGCCTGGTCATCTGGACTGCATCTTTATCTTTCCCACATGAGGCAATATTAGTATTTTTATGACTAGAAAATAAAGTTTTCAATTTTCAAAACACTAGCAGTAACACCTTTCTACTAAATATGTATGAAGTATAAGCATATGTTTCAAAACGAACTGTAAACTTATATTTATCTAGGGTAGACTTTAGATTATGCAAAGTGGTGAAAAGATTATGTATGTATGGATAAAACATATAATCCTTTTATTTATTTATTTATTTATTTATTTATTTATTTATTTATCCAGGACCACATGCCTGGCCCTTGACCCTGGGAATAGGTATTGGAATTGGAATGGCTTTCACCAATTGTCAGCGAGAGTTTCAGAACCCATATCTTTTATTTGGACAAAAGTTAAAGGTGAGGAGATGCATCTAAATGTGTAGGAACCGATAGAAACAATTCTAGTTTTAAATGTAATTGTTAAACTGCACTCACTTTGAAGAAAAAAAAAAAGACCTGGTATTTGTAAACAAAGTTGTTTTAAAGCACTTTGTGTTTCAAATTTATAACCTTGTAAAGTTCTTGGGGATTAATGTAAGTTCAAGAATTTCCATTAATTAGTTTTTTTAAAAGAAATTTTGTTAATTGATTTATATATATTTTTTTTTCTTTTTTCTTTTTTTCCAGGTTGTAAAAAAAGATACTACAACACAGGAAGCGTGAAGAAAGAATGGTAGTTAGTTTGACATTTTAGAACATTTATATACACAGACACTGTGAAGAAAAAAGTGCACTGCCATAGATGTGGAATTTCTTCCTGATTTACATAATCAGTTCAAGTTTTGTGAGATTATTGCTACTTAGCGTTTAAATGAGGATGGAATTATTGATTCCTTATCAAGGAAAAGCTTTTTGGGGCTGATATTCACTTGTTATTGCCATCTTGAAGATATGGAGTCTTTGGCAAATCTCATTGCTGAGTGACAAGGCAGATGTGAACATTATCATGACAACTGTGGGTGTTCTTAAAGAACAGCAGGGAGGAATATTTCTTCAACTTTCACATTTTGATGTTTACTTAATGTTTAATAATATACTGAATGAGTAAAAATGCTATGTCAGTAAGTTTTGTTTGTTTTTGAGGAATAACAAGAGATACAGATCAATTTAAGTCGTGAAGAAAAAATATATTTTAACTTTCTCAATTTTATTTTCCATCATTACAGTTTATTTATTTTGAAGGAAGATAATTTGTTGAAAAAAGGGAATAATTGTTCTTGTCTCCAAAAACACGTTAGGACAAATTATGTTTTGGTTATAACATTACTGCCGTCTGAAGTGCCTTGGATTTTCTCATATTCGGAATCTGGTACGAAAAACCCTTCTGGAATCTCGAACTTTAGTTCAGACTCGTCTTGGAATGATTGGTAAGTGGTGCCCTCTGCTGTCACTTTGAGCACAGCCCCATTGCGGGTGTCGTCCTCGATGAGCTGTATACAAGCTTCAGCCACAGTCGATGGGCTGCAAATGGAAAAAAGATATTAAGGAGTTTTTCTTTAAATTCAGAAAAAAAATTTTTTTTTAAATAATATGCTTGTGAGACCGAATGCATTTTAGGAAATCACATTCTCGATTTCAGATGGAAATGGGTTTTGGATTGGTAAGTGAGAGAAATTTACTATTGACCCTTCCCCTAAAATAAAATTGAAAAAAAAAACACCGACCTATCCTTAAATTAGCTGTAACTCTCGTTAAAATCATACGTTTAAACTACAAACAAACAAACAAACAAAATAATAATAAATAAATGAAATAAATAAATTTCGTCCACCAACCCTCTTTAGAGAGAGTGGCTCCTTGTTATCTAACCCATCAGGAAAAATTCAGAAAATTTACTGGAATAAAAACCCAGAAAGAATAAAAGAGCGTAAAACGGGGTAATTGTCTGGGCAACAGCGTTTTATAATATTTGAAAGGAGTAGGGAAAATGTCACAAACTGAGGCGTAAAGGAATATGACGTACTTTGCGCGTTGAACTCGTTTTCTACCGGTTTTTGAGAACAAAAGGTATTAAATTTACGGACAAATTTTTAGTGCGTGAAAAGATTTTAGAGAAGATACTTCACGTTTTGAGTCTTAGAAGGGGATAAAAAAAGATGAGTTATGGGTGCAGAATTTTATGAAAAAGATTCCCTGTCAGAGCATCCGATCTTAAGGTCCAGTCGACGCCCTTCTCTCCCTCTCTCTCTCTCCCCACCCCCCCCCCCCCACACACACACACACACACACACACCTGAGAGCGGTCTTCATTGCCATGGGGTACCACGCCTCCCAGAGACGCACGTGGCGCACTACACCGGCCGCCTTCTGCTCTGGCGTCAGCTGAAGAAGACTGGTATTTGTGAGATGTGGACACAGGCAGTTGACACGCACTTGCTGGTACGGGAAATCTGGGTTGGCCTGGAAATATAATGGTATACATCTACATGTAAGTACGATGATGTATTTTATTTCTAAAAATTCAAAATGTGGAGAATAAAGTATAAATATGCGTGCATGATGGGTCGTTCAATTATTGTGGTGACTAATAATCCGTCTTTTACCGAAAACATATTTCTACCGCGCTGGGTAGTTCTCTTTTTAACATTGTGAAAACCATTCCACAGCTTTTTAAAATAGCCACGTCAGCAATGAAAGCACTCAAAGTGTAGAATACCACTTAGTTCCCATACCTAGATCGATATAGCAGGCTCGATCCATCTCCGATGGATTTCTCACTAAATTGCTTTCAGCTTAGATGCCAGCTGGTACGCCTACTGAATCTGCCAAACAATAATTAAATACCCCCTAGCAGCTTCAGTAGGCGTGACAGACATCTAAGCCGCTTAAGTTGATTGCAATTTAATGAGAATCCCCAAAGAGATACAACGATCCACAGTTAATAAGATAGGGTCTGGGAATGGTCCCTAGTACAGAACTTACCCCCCAGCAGCGCGTGTACCCAACAATACCGTGCTTGGTAGCCGTGTAGACAGGGATGAGTGGATACGGCTGGAGACCTGTAATGAGCATTTCCAAAGCGATGATAACTCTTCAGACTTTTTACAGTATATATATTATATAATACACATGTATATCACAAAACATTCATTTTTTAAGTTATGGGGCCGGTTTCACAAAACGGTTATCTCCCCTAAGTGGTCTAAACTTTAAGTCCCCAAAATATGTCTGTATGATGTACCAACATCTTGTTGATAATTTTACAGTGCAATTCTTCTTAAATAAGCCATGAGCAAAATTACGTTATTATGTCCAAGAATAAGCCAATTTCACAGAAATACAAGGAATTTATTGCCAAATTTAGGTATGGGAACCCAGTCTAAGGGCGTATTCCCATAGATTTTAGATCGATCTATCCCCGTGGGGAGTCTCACTAGATTACTGCCAGATAATCCGGCTTAAATGTCCGTCCCGCCTACTATAAGCTGTAAGGGGGTAATTAACTTTCGTGCCCGCTCGGCTGACAGCTATTTAGCGTGAACCCCCAGGGAGTTAGGTCGATCTAGTTTGGATCGATCTAATCTCTGGGAATGGGGTCTTAGTTACCTGCCGTTGATGCCATGTTGACGACGACTCCCCCCTCACCGCCTTCTTTATTCTTTCTCATGTGTTCCACTCCCAGCATTGTACCGCAGATCACGGAGTTCTGAAGATATTAAGATGTGTAACATGTCGTTCAATGCCCGCTGGGAATCGCTCAGAACTCATCTCTTTATTATCAGAGTGGAGGCTCAGGGCTGGACTGAAGGGCCCCGAAAGTTTTGGTATTTTAGAGGTACAGTTTAGAACTGTGATTCAGCTAGTCGAAATTCTAATATGTGTGAATTTCTTCAGAAATTGAAGGGGGGGCAGGACATTAAGCAGCTTAAAACCGCCACTGGGTTCCAATGTCCTCAGAAACTCCGGGTGCTTGACATAGACGGAAGCAGAGCTTTCTTTTGTTAAAGACACAGATAAATGGTTATTTGAAGTACATATCTGGTTTAGTTTATTAAAAAAAAATACACAAAAAAAGAAGAAAATTCACCTCAATACATGAACTTACCAGATTGACCGCTGTGCATTTTTTCACGTCTTTTTCGTCAAAAATACCAGCATTGTTTACAACAATATCGACACGACCAAAGTGACTTTTAGTTTGTATGAAAACTTCTGAAAATAGGAATATAAGTTTCAGAAACGAGAAAAAAAATTACGCTCTCAGTTGAAAAGTCAAAATGAAAACAACTAGTCATTCGCTTTATTTGAATTGGGCATATAAGAAAGAAAATTGCTGTCATATTATTTTATTTGATTTTGTCAGATTTGGTTATGTTGAACATTTATTACTTACAAAATCGTGTCACTTTCAACTTACTGTCGAACTGGTCATTGTCAGTGACGTCACATTTTACAAACATGACGTCAGTTTCCCCATGTTTTCCTCTCAGTTCTTCAGCGGTTTTCTGGCCTACAGAAGAGTTGACATCTACAATAGTAACCTGAAAATAGTTTGTTTTCTCTCCAGTGATACAATATTTGTAATCGAAACGTCAATTTTGTTTTAGTCAGTTTATAGCATCCTTCACCCCCCTCCACTTCGCCCCCTTCATTCAAATGTGGCGAACTTCTCTGTAATAAGATTTTAGACACTACATTTCACTTTAGTGCAGATTTCATCATAATCTTAAATGAGGACATGTTTCACCTCCCCTCCCTCTCTCTCTTCCTCCATCTCCCATTCTCTCTCTCTCTCTCTCTCTCTCAAACCAACATTGTCACAGGCAAAGCGCACCTTTCCTCCTTTTTCCAGTATAGCCTCAACTATCGCTCGTCCTATTCCCTGTGCACCGCCAGTTACTATGGCAACCTTTCCTGAGATTTGCATGTTTCTCCTCGGTATGTGCTAGTTTTGCTGCTGGTCCATACGATCACTTCAAAATCTACACGGCTTATAGAACAGGACACAGTCGTTCTGCTGAAATGCACCCTGCATGTCACCATTTAGAGTTGAGAAGGTGATAGCTCAGTTGGTGGATCTCATTGGTCTGTAACCCAGGGTGTCGATAAATGATCAAAACTAGAAACTGGTAAATTTGCACGCAGAACTTTTACAGATACTGATTTCTAAAGGAATGGAAGTCCATTTAGAAACCAGTTCACGCATTCTTAATGAAAGAAGTGTATATCAACTTTATTGCTTCACGATTGTCGTGCTTCCATTTTTCTTTGTTCCTACTTGCGTCAGAATGTTACGGTATACCTACATCAATATTAAACCGTAAATTCGTTTGTTCTGCTAACTGATAAGATTACCAATTTGTCCAGTCACTCTTGTTTTTATGTGACGTTTCACACACAAAAATCTTGAAATTGCTGAAAACTCAGTTCTATTAAGTAACGATTTTACGAGACCCCGCCTTTCCCTCGCTTTATACATTATTCCCCTTGATTTCACATATCTCGTCAAAGTACCCTAAAAACCAAATTTAGTCTCATTACGCCAGTTCAAATAAATTCACACGGTATATTCTGCGCGATATCTGGACGATATCACAGTGCGATATCAAACAATGCGTAAACTCAGTGTGGAGATTTGGTTTTCTATCTTCTGATGCAGACCGTTGATAATCAAATATATAACGCTACGTCCCATTTTATCAACGAGGGATCAACTGATACGGCAATAGGGGGTTTACTGTAGCCATGGAAGTTTATTACCACGATGTACTTCTATGCTGCAGCATATGCTAGGGGACTCAAGGTGTGCTTCTGTGAGAAAACGTATTTAAATCTCTGTTAGGCCTTATAGACTGAATAGCAGTTAGTGACTTGGAGACGTGGATTTGTAATTGCGATCGCCTTATTAGGCCTAACTAAAACCGCGAATTCCTGCTCACTTTGAGGTTTAAGAGACCACAGGCTCTGCCATAGAGAACTTATGAGCCAAAAGAATGTATCAGAGCATGTAGTTTAGACAAAAGAACCATCTGAACGTAGAGTCTTCGAAGAAAAAAAAAATTTTTACAAAAAGAAGGAATTTTGTCATTTTGTGGGTTTTAGGACTATAGAAGGCCTTGAGAATATGGGAAACTTTTTCATCAAAAAAGAGGAATTTTTGTTATTTCTTGGATTATCGGATAAAACCTTCGGAATATAGCCTTGTTTCCGTGGGAGAAAAAGTGTGGGTTGGGAAGAGGAGGTTAATTCTGATGTCAGAAACGTCTGTTAAAACTTTCTCTGACCTTGTGGCAGTTATTAATACAGGGGCGGATTTAGGCCGTCTTCTGGGTCTTCCAGAAGACGGTCAGATTTTCAAGTTTACATTGACGGTATCGTATGTTTTCTGGTCAAAATGGAGGATGGATCAACAAAGATAATTTGGAAGACTGTCAGAAAATTTCTCTAGATCCGCCCTGTTAAACTAATCACGCACACCTGTAATTATGTAAATTACACTTAACCTCACGGAAACAAACAAGATGTAGATTGTTACTTTTGATGAAAAATAATTTTTGGTAAGTTAGTTGGAAAAGAACACATTTATTATGTTATGTTTGATACGTTACCCCGTCCAAACTTGTAGAAAACACATCAACATTATAATGGTGAATTTATTATTTGGAGGGGGAGGGCACAGGTACATCGTCAAACACGTAAACTATTGTCAAGCATCGGTGGTTCAGTGGTAGAATGCTCGCCTGCCACGCGGGCGGCCCGGGTTCGATTCCCGGCCGATGCAAATTCTTTTACATCACCAAATATGCATAAATGGCACGAAATTCCCTCATAGATTATGAAATACCGCCGACCAAAAATAAACACAAATGGCGTTGCAATAAAAAATGAAACTAACATTAGTTGAAGTAATTTGAATGTTATACCATCAGCTTGAGCTGACGTCATAACGTACCAATACTATGACGTCATAATCGCACATGTCCTTACGTAATAACGCCATCTGTACACAAAGTTAGCAACGGCATATTTCGGGTTACAGTGTACATAAAAGAAGCACTTTAAAAGAACTGAATCCATTTGATGTTTTTGATATGAAAATTTAGTGCCAAAAACAGTTACGGATGACTACAGCAAAGAACCTTGGATATAAGGTAAAGAAGAAACAGTTAATTTCGCCTTTAAAAACACCTTAGATCTTCATTTTGTCCTTTCGTTTACCGAGAAACTTGGAATTGTGCAAACAGGTAGATCTAGTTCTAGTTCGATCGTATTTTTTTTTTTCATTTTTTTTCGCCATTTAGCGTAGAATTCTATTTTTGTTGATCGAAAATTCAAAATTAAATCATGCGTCAATATGTGTCAGTATGTTCATAGCAGGTTATTATAAAAGAAAAAACATGAATAAATGCTACACTGAAAAACTTTGGACAGTGATAGGCCTATAGAATTTGGACGATGTCTTCAACATGACCAAAACACTTTGTTTTTACTCTAGTTTTCCTTGTTTTTCTATGCGTATTCTTTCAGGAGAGATCCTTATGATAAGTAGAAAATATTGGGTGCGTCAGCTATGGCTATATTAAAAAGTTAATTACAAATATTCGATATATTTTTTCATTACAAAAGTCCAGCAAAAGATCGTTATGTTAATCCTTCTTGTTTTTCCTACCGTATCATCTTCCCTCTCTCTCTCTCTCTCTCTCTCTCTCTCTCTCTCTCTCTCTCTCTCTCTCTGTGTGTGTGTGTGTGTGTGTGTGTGTGTGTGTGTGTGTGTGTGTGCTGGCTGCGGTACGTGAAACGAATGACATTGTATAGTTTCTCGCATCTCCACATACCAATTTGGCTAAGAGAAGATTAAAGAAAGGCTTATTTGTTTTGCGGAGATAAAATATTGTAAAAGGTGAAAGAGGACACATGGGTTAAAATGTTGTTTTTTATATCTAACATTTTGTACAGCAAAAGTATTGTTGAGGTTAGAGAGAGTGACAACATTCGAAAGAAAGGCCTTTGGAGGGAAATGAGAAGCGACTTTATTTTGCGGTGATTGGTATTTTGAATCTGTTTGCTTCTTGTTCAATGGAATAATAAGCATTAATAATAATAATAATAATAATAATAATAATAATAATAATAATAATAATAATAATAATAATAATGATGATGATGATGATGATGAGGCACCCATCCCTCCATCACAGTCCACTTTTAACAGTAAGGAATTTTCCATGTTTTTGGGTCAAGCTTTGAAGTCTTACTGTGTCCTAAAACACACACACAACAATTTAGTCACACACGAAAAAAATGAATAAAAATAAAAAATAAAAAACCGGTATATTTAACAAGGTAAAGGAAGAAGGGCGATATTTCCAAAATAAACTTGAAGAATTCCTCTGAGGACTTCGATCTGTCTTGGTTTTTATGAAAGCATCTGACATATATTCCCTTACATAGAATAGGCCTACCGCTACCCTCGACCAGGGCAACAGATTTTAATCTTAATAATAAATAATTGATTTAAATTAATTAAATTGTTTACTAGATACTCTCAGATATATCACCGGTAAATTCATGCCACTATTTTCGCGTTATAGAAAAATACATGTAATTAATCTGCAGCCCTGGTAGAGGATGCTCTGCTATCTCTGTGACAGTAATTAACCTCGTCACGCACACTTGTGAGTAGCAGGAGACAAGAGTTAAAAAAGATGTAGATTGTTACTTTTATAGAAAGAGTTGGTCACTCAGTCGAAAAGAAAAAAGTCTCTCGCGTTATGTTTATAATGTTTACCTGACAACATCAGCTTTTTTTTTTCTTTACCAGTGTAGGTTCGGGAAAAGGGCGGTGGTATTTGGGGGGCGCATGTAGGAAAAGCCTAGTGGTGAAAAGCAGGCATCGGTGGTTCAGTGGTAGAATGCTCGCCTGCCACGCGGGCGGCCCGGGTTCGATTCCCGGCCGATGCAATTCATTTTATACCACCGAAAACTACAGAGTACGAAAAAATACAATACATACGTGCAAGGATGACACGAAATTCCCTCTTACATTATGAAATATCACCGACCAAAAAAGTGTAAATGGTGTTGTAATAAAAAAGAAAAGAAAAAAGAACAAACATCAGTTGACGTAAATTGTGTAATTTGAATCATGCACAGCGAGATCGTACCATCAGCGTGAGCTGACGACAAAACATACCAATATTGTGACGTCATAATAACACGTGACGCATGTCCTTACGTAATAACGCCATCTCTACGCCAAGTTAGCAACGGCATATTTCAGGATATGTACAGTGTATAGTAAAGGAATCGCTTGATTTGTATTCGTTCATTTTGATCTTTTTGATACGATAACTTTGTGATAAAAAAGTCACAGATACCTGCATCAAAGAACCTTTGGAAAATAAGGTATAGTATAAACTGTGTGCCTTGAAATTGCAAATTACACATCGAAGAGAAAACATTAATGATCTTCATATTTATCTAAACTAGGTATTGTGCAAGTAGGAAGTTTGATCGCATATTCTTGTTTTTTTTTTAATGAAATTTCGCGTAGAATTCTATCTTTGTTTATCGAAAATTAAAAAGTAAATAGTGTATCAATATTAATAGTTGGTTATTACAAACGAAAACAGGAATAATTGCTGAAAAGAAAAGCTTTGGTCAGTGGTAGGCTTTTATAGCAATATATGTCTTCAAATTGTCGAAAACACTTTGTATTTACTCTGGGTTTCCCTGCATTTAGATACGTGTCATAGACGTGTATGTGTTTTATTTATGCATGCGTTAGATAGTTTACTACTACCCTCGACCAGGGCCACAAATTTTAATAATAAATAATTGATTTTAATTAATTAAATTGTTTTCTAGATATTCACAGATATGTCACCGGTAAATTCATGGCACTATTCTCGCGTTATAGAAAAATACGTGCAATTAATGTGCAGCCCTGGTAGAGGATGCTCTGCTATATCTCTGTGTCAGTAATTAACCTGGTCACGCACACTT